TCTAGGATCATTGGAGAGAGATAAAGATGGTTTTAGTCATTGCTGGGTTTTGTTTTGAGCTTTTTTCCTAGATTTCTATTTATTAGTAGTGGTATTTTGCACAAACTGAGAGAAAGTAAAGTACTCATATTTAATATATGAAAATAAAACACTGTTGTTTTGTTACCATAGGAAAACCTATCATCATGTGATACACCTTAGTAACAAACCCCACCAACCTGAGGTTATTAATACAAAAACCAAAATATGGAGAGTACACTTCTCCTACTGAGTTGAAGCCTTCCCTGGTGTTCAGTACAATTACACTATAAACATGGATATGCTTTCAATAAAATAAGAAAGAAGGTGGTAGATCATCTGTTGTGCAGCACGGGGGAGCATCTTGATGAGCGATCTTTTTCTCCTCTCAAAGTTCCTTAGTAATGTGAAAACTTTGGAATCTTTATTAAAGTATTCATACTCTCAAAGTCTGTTGTTCTTAAAGATCTTTGTATTCGGCTTTTTATTCTTCCTGACTTTCATCTTTTCTTTGCACCAGTTTCAGGAAATGAGAGATTTGTATCACACCCACGTAACAAACAGTTTGTCAGCTTCAACCACAATATATGTGGGTAATTTCAGCTGCGGGAGAGAAGCCTGGAAGGAATATTTGTTTATGAGTTTTGTTGGTTTTTTTTTTCTCCTTAGCATAAGCTAGGAAGAGTAATTGCATGCAGTTGTCCTCTTTTTCAGAGGCTCCTACTACATCCACTGCCGATCTCATACAGACCTTACTGATCATTCCTGATGGTCTGCAACAATGCAATAACCATCCCAGTAATTCACTAGGTCGAGTTGTTTAGCATGCTGCTTTGGTTCTTTAACATTGAGCAATACAAACTACAAAGCAACTTCTTCTATGCCTTAGCCACCATTTGAGAAAGTGGACTGTATTATCATTTGGGGGAAAATATGTTTTTTCACTCAGGCAGTTGATACTTATATTTATGAAATAAAAAATAAATGGCTGAAGTTCAGGAAAATAACCTTTGCAATAGCTTCTTCTCTGATCAGTATCAGTCCTGCAAAGCCCTGCAGCAGTTGGTCTGTACACTAAGCTATGCAGAAGGTGCCAGAAGCCATTAAGCGTTAGCTGAGACCACACATGCAGGAGCAGAGAGGAGCTGAAATATGGAGTACATGACAGGTCTGATTTGCTTGTGCCTCTACCTCCTAGAAAGTGGCTACAGTTCTGTCAGCCTTTACTGCACAACCTTAAAGAGGCTACCATAGACACAGCACATCTGTTATGCATGGTTGGCAGTAACCCCCTCCCTATGGATGCTGCTCAGCTTCTCTGGGCACACAGACCATGTCTGAAGAATAGTGCAGGATATTATCCAGTGTCACTGGGTTTACTGCGCCTTCACTGCACATGCATTTGTGGTACCAGAGATTTCCATCAGCCTTACAAGGACCCTGAGGCATCACACTGTCTTGAAAAAAAGGTCTTCCTCCTCAGTTGGTGATAAATTCATGCAATTTTGCTAGAAGTGAGTCACAAGAAGGGCAGGGCAATGCAGTAATTTGTCTCTCTTTTTTTAAATGTTTTCTCATTACTGGGCAAAATGGCACAACCACATTAAATATTAATTTATCTGCAAGTATCACTTTTAGTCCTTTATATGCACCAGCACAGCGTGAACATATATACAGCTCTATTTATACCAGCAAATTTTCAGTAGTTCTTGGGATCTATCCCCACATATGCACAAAAAATGTATTGGTTAGATCTGGCACATTTGATACATTTATGTAGTTTGTCTGTGAAATAATGTAGTAAATACCCTGTGCAAGCACTGTTCAGTTGCATAATGTGTCCATAATTGGTGCAAATTGGAATGACATGGATGAAGACCTGAATTTGTGCCCTTTGACATCACAAGTCATTCATTAATGGACTTACTAAGGTACAAAGCCTAAATGTGGTGTGAGGTCAGATTTGACCTGTAAGATACATTTCTCATTTGTTTTCCAAAAAATTCTGACAGCACGAATGATTGAATTCTGAGAGTTAAAATAAGAAGCAGGTTTTAATGTATTTTTTATGAGCTGGCGAGAAGTCATTTCTGGCAAGGATGGTGATTTATATGGAGAGAAAAAAGGAGAACTGAGTCACATGCAGTGAAATCAACTTACTGGTTTAAAGGCAGAAATGTATTAAAAAATTCAAAGGCACAGCCCTATAATAGTGCCAGTTAAAGGGATTGTTTCTCCAGCAGGCAATTTTCCTGTAGTTTCTCAACTACCACTGGGTATTGCTGTGTCAGTCCTTTTAAACTTTGGTAACTTTTGTCCGGTGCAGTGAGTTTCATATCTGAGCAATTTTCTGGTTTTCAGTAACAGCTCATGTGTATTAAATGATTCCAGTAGCCTTCCACTTTGGTGTTTGTTTTGCTTTAATTTAGAAAAAAACCCAATGTAGAATCACAGAATGGTTTGGGTTGGAAGGGACCTTAAAGACCATCTAGTTCCAACCCCCCTGCCCTGGGCAGAGACACCTTCCACTGGATCAGGTTGCTCAAAGCCCCGTCCAACCTGGCCTTGAACACTGCCAGGCTGGGGGCAGCCACAACTGCTCTGGGCAACCTCTGCCGGTGTCTCACCACCCTCACAGGGAAGAATTTCTTCCTTAGATATCATCTAAATCTCACCTCTTTCAGTTTAAAACCATTACCCCTTATCCTATCACTACACTCCCTGAGAAAGAGTCCCTCTCCATCTTTCCTGTAGCCCCCTTTAAGTACTGGAAGGCCGCTATAAGGTCTCCCCAGAACCTTCTCTTCTCCAGGCTGAACAACCCCAGCTCTCTCAGTCTGTCTTCAGAAGGGAGGTGCTCCAGGCACTGTGATCATCTTGGTGGCCTCTGGACCTACTCGAGTAGGTCCGTGTCCTTCTTATACTGGGGGCCCCAGAGATGGACACAGTTACTCCAAGTGGGGTCTCACAAGAGCAGAGTAAAGGGGCAGAATCCCCGCCCTCGACCTGCTGGCCACACTTCTCTTGATGTAGCCCAGGATATTGTTGGCTTTGAGGGCTACAAATGCGTATTGTTGGCTCATAATCAGTTTTCCATCCAGTAACACCCCCCCATGTACTTCTCCACACGACTGTTCTCAATCTACTGTATCCACTAATCCACTACAGTCCAGCCTGTATTTGTTCTTGGGATTGCCTCAACCCATGTGCAGGACCTTGCACTTGGCCTTGTTGAACTTCATGAGGTTTGCATGGGCCTAATTCTCAAGCCTGTCCAGGTCCCTCTGGATGGCACATCCCTTCCCTCCAGCATGTTGACCACACCACACAGCTTGGTGTCGTTGGAGAACTTACTGAGGGTGCGCTCAATCTCATGTCACTGACAAAGATGTTAAACAGCACTGGTCACAGTACCAGCCCCTGAGGAATGTCACTTGTTACTGGTCTCCGCTCAGACATCCAGCTTTGACTTGGAGTGCAACCATCCAGCCAATTCCTTATCCACCAAGTGGACCATCTGTCAAATCCGTGTCTCTCCCAGTTTAGATGCAAGGATATCATGCAGGACAGTGTCAAAAGTAGTGATTTGCATTCTCAATTATAGTAATCTAACAAAATCTTGTTAAAAGTAAATTAATTGTTATGAGATTTGATTGATTGTCCTTTAAGCTACATGTAGATTTTTAAAGTTAGCTTAAATAAAATAATGATCAATACTTTCTGAAAATGAGAGATTCTAGGTAGGCATTTCCCAGTATAAGTGTTCTTGTGGCATTTGACTCATAACCTATTAACTGTTGCAGATCTAAACAAGGAATTAATTTGTTGTGTGCTATCTTTGGATGTCTAGTAGATGTTTGATGTTATGATACACATTTTTTATCTGCATAATCACAGTAAGCTCTAACCCAAGGTATTAAAAGGTTTACTATCATATTGTGCAATCTGGACATGTCAGAGGTGTTAGAAAAGAGATTTTGTTAAGAAGTCGAGGCTTGTTCCTAACTGATACTAAGGCTGTGAATTTTCTAAATCCCTTTATCTGTACAAAGCAAAGCAAAATATACATCACATGTATAGATAGAAATCACATTTAAAATTTCATTAAAAGTGCTTTCCACATTCTTTGTTTAAAAAAAAAAAAAGTCCCCGAATTTCCTTCTCTTAAGATGTTTTATGCTTAAGGTGCAAGTATTGTGCATACCACTGGAGAAGTGAATCACTGTTCTCCTGGAATAAAGTTTCTGGTAAGAGTGGGGTTTATGCAGTAACCTGCTTGTTGCCCAGAATTTAATGTTGCCCATTTTGGATATCGGACTAGGGTTATTATGTGGCAAAACTCTGTATGTGATGAGAGGAAGAGTCTGTTTTGTGAGAGGTGGTTCTACTGACTACATTGGAGCATCAGACCGTACAGCTGGCCGGCTCTATGGCTGAATGCCTCCAGCTCTTGCAGGATGAGAAGCCAGAGTAAGTTGTGCAGTTGAGGAAGACTTGTCACATTTGGACATTCCAGGGGATGGAGGACTCATGGCCTAGAATTAGTTCTTTTTCCACAGTACTGTTTTGTGGTGTTGTTTCTTCCCTCATGAGAGGAGAGGGAATGTGGAGAACTGAGCAGGATGTGAAAAAGGAAAATCTCTTCTTCTATGCAAGTTCTAGATTTGCCTCTTTAAGATAAATTTACGTTCACTGGGCTTCTGTTCCCACTCAAAAAAAAAAAAAAATCAGTGAAAAGTGTTTTTGTTATGTCAGCTAGCTAAAACACTGTGATTTCTGCCAATGCTATAGCTCTTCTATAAGGAGTGTTGAGTAGGAAATTTGGTTTCTCTGTGAAGAATCACGATACACTAAAATTGAGAACGGCTGCTTGTGGGCAGATGCCTTCATGCACACACACATAGATGTTATAACTTCAACTGAGGCAATTCTAAAGTATTTCACTGTTCCTTGCTGACAATCTGATTTGTACTTTCCAACAGTGGGATGGCGTAGGACCTCTCCCAGACTGTGCAGAACCACCCAAAGGAATCCAGATGCTGTGGCACCCTTCAATAGTCAAACCCTACCTCACACTTCTTTCTGAGTGCTCAAATCCAGACACACTGGAGGGGGCAGCAGGGGCACTGCAGAACTTGGCTGCTGGGAGTTGGAAGGTAAGAATATTAACCTGATAGGTTTTTCATTTTCAGTTCAGAAAAAGCCCTACAGATGACAGCAAACTGGTGATATATATCAATACTTCTGGTAGTGGAATAACTTTCTGTTTTTACAGAACTACCTGCAGTCAAATTTGAGGTAGTCTTTTAAGTCCTCTGAATTGATACAGATTGTCATAACCTAGCAATAGTCAGCATACAGCAGTGAAAACGGTGTTGGTCAAGTCATGAATGAAAAATTGCTGCTGAAAACAAATATCTAAATGAGGAGAAGCAACTTTGTTATGAATCTGGATGACAAAGCCGTGAAAAATGAGCAAAAAATATCACCAGTGACAATCAAATGAAACCATATTGTTTTGTCACTGCAAAAACTGGTTGACATTCTGTCTCTTAAGAGAAACCAGGCAGGAGCAGAGCAAGATATAAATGATGTGACATCAACACAAGTAATCTCACCATCTACTTTTTAAAAAAATCAGACATTATTAAAATACGTCAACAATATGATTAATTATGTACAATGAGCAAGGAAACGCTCAGTGAAGGCACTCTATTCCGGCTAATCCTACTTTTCAGTTATATTCAAAAGATCCATTTTTCTCTCTTGTATTATTTGCAGTGAACTGAGAAGAACATTTAGGAACCCATTTATTAGATTTTGAAAATATTTCTAAATTTAGAACAAATCGGTAAAATTCAAGATAACAGTTGAGCCTAGTTTACATTTTAGAATAATTCATTCATTGCTTTCTTGATGGTTAACTGGTTTGATTGGGTGAAAGTACTAACTATCTAATCCTATTGTATAAATATAATGCATTGATTGGGATTTTTTTCTCATTTACTATGAAAACACGCATGTATGGGGAAACATAGTGATCAAAATTATGTCTCAGAAGGTATCCTGTTCGGTTTTAAGCATTGGACATTTTTATGTGATGTGTAAATACCAATGTAATTAGGCATTCATCTTGAAATGTTAGCCTCGATGCTAATAAATTGCTGTGTTTTTCCCATAAAGTTTATTGGAAGTTGAGTTGGCACATTCACTAGATTTTCAGAGGCATGTGGGTTTTTTGAGCACTGTGTTCTATCAGATTTATAAAATGCCTTTGACTATTGCATTCAATGACATATGAAATTAATAACAAAGTATCTGTCCAGTGATTTTTGTCCTGTGAAGTGCTACATACATAATGTGCCTGAAAATCATTATACTTTTATTATTCTCATATTGTAGATGACATCACATTGTGTAATCCTGGCACAGAAATGTGATAAATGTGTTTTATCCATCCAGGAATGGGTGTAACCCCCTGGTCCAAATGAGAAAATAATGCATGTATACTTGCCAGGACTAATAGCAGTGTTAAAATCCAAGTGATGCCCCTTCTCCCATTTCTAATAAATCTGTATACCTGTCATCCTTTAGTTGGCAGAATTGTACAGAGAGAGGAAGGAAGGTTCTGCAGAGCTCTTTGGCAAGTGAAAAAGTTGGTTAGAAAAACTGATTAGAACTTTAATACTATCTGCACTGATACCATGGGAAAAGCTCAGCTGTTCTCGTGTTGCTCTATTTTTCTAAAGATTCACCAATTTCATTATGTGATGTGCAGACACAGAATGAATATCCTTAATTTCACATGTCATACTAGCCATTTTTGTGGAGGGAATAATCTTCTTTGGGGATTACATAAGCATTGATGTTTCTACCTTTTGGCCTCTTTTTTCTACTGCTACGGTATTCTGGATATAAAATGACTGAAATAAAAGAGAAAACTCTTAAAAGAAGAGGTTATTCCTAAGGGAGATTTTAATTTTTGTAGTTCCTCCAAGAAATTGTAATTGTATAAAGAACGGGAAAAGATTGTTATTTTTTGTAACTTGAACTCTTTCAAGAAGAACTTCATGATGGACTGAAAGAAAGAAAAAGAGCTAACTGCATGAAAATAAATAATGTAGATATTAATATTAATAGCAATAGCAATTGTGGGTTTTTTTTTCAAGTAGCATTATTTTAATGCCAGAAGAATCTCAGAATATATGAGGCAGCCAGTGCACCAGGCATGCTCACACACTTCCAAAGATACGGTCTCTTCTGGAAAAAAATACAGTTGATAGACTCACATAATTCTTTCCTAGCCGTTTCACCCATTTTGTTCCTTTGGTACAAAGCTGTCTAATCCTTTTCAGTGGCCAGGAGGTAACACTTTTGACATAGGCCATTATGAAGGGAAAGGGAGCAGATAAAAGGTATCCTGAATAGTTTTTTAAAAATAAAAAAATATGTGGGGGATTTAGATAAATGTCTGCCACTAGAATTAACAGATGATACGTGTCTAAATCCCCTAGGCTGCTTTTGAAAATTTCAAACACAAACAAAAAGCAGCAATATGTAGCTTTAAGGATTAATAGCTGAGAGAGGCTGAAACTTTTCATTATTTCCGGGAATATAGTTTCTCATTGATACATACACATAAAATCAATGCATGCACATAATAAATCTTAATCTGTAGGACATTTTTAGTACTGTTTCATTTGCAAGAATTCCTTCTAAAGCTGAATACCAACAAAAAACTGTGACATACATACATTTGTATATCATCTTTCTCTGTCAAGATAAAACACTTTGGACCAAAGTCTTGCCATAGATTAACCATGGAAGTTTGTTCATCTTGCTCTTCTGCACCAAGATGTCATTGCATAGGGAGGACACTCGTATTGGAATCTGCAGGAAGCAAACCCATTTCTTTCATGGGAAAGGACATGCATATCCTTACAGGTCTCTCATTTTTTATTCATATACTTACTTGATGCTTCTACTCAAAATATTAACGACTCTTCTGGAATAATATAGATATGGAGACAGCCAAATATGTAAATTTGGGGGGGAGATTTGTCAAAGTTTTCCATATCACTGCCAGGTTACCACTTTAACTTCTGCTTTGCACAGTGGCCTGTGATACTAGTAGTTGGTCACTGCATGTCCCCCTCCTGATGAGGTTGATGGCCTACAGGTCAGGTTGTCAGCACTGTGCCTTCTGCAGAACTCAGCTCATCTGGCGCTGGGTGGGTTTCTGTTTGAGAGGGGAGTCATTGCTTCCCAGAATATCTTCTCCCATCAAATCATAACCCGGGCAATTCCACTGTATCCTAAACTTCCTAGAAGCAGAAAGAGCAATGCATAAAAAGTATGGCCATTGATTTTTACTTTCTTTCATTGCCACTCTGAGATAAATTTTCTTCTGAAAGTAGAGTTTTTCTAATTATACTTAATATGAACTTGTATTTTAAAGCTCCTTAGTAATATGAAATAAAAATCTAGGGAGATACATTCCTCATCAAGCTTAGCTGGAGTTTTGCCTGCACAAATAAGGCTTGAGACATGCCTTTGGAAGCAGTGGAGTCTCTTTATTTCCCATTAGGTATTGACTTTCATTGGGAGCTCTATTAGTTTTCTTTGCCACTTAATTTGGGTTTAACCAAGTTTGTGCAAAATTGTGCAAATAAAAATAGGAGGTTTGCTGGCTCACTCAGCTGTGTTCTGAAGACACCTGCCTGCTTATTAAGAAATTCCTCTCACTATAACACTTCAACCCAGAAGTCCTTTATGCAACCTCATATCATTATTTATTTTAATACCCTGGATTAAAAAAATTATGAGGTATAAAATTACAAGACTTATCCCATAGAAGGAAGTCTCCATATATCTTTTTATATGTAGTTTGGCATCAGTATTTTTCCTTAGATGGTGGGAATAAAAGTGGCAAGTTCTTTTTAGTTTTCATCTTGGTCAATAGGCTATTAATACATTAAATCTACTGAGCATGTAAAAAGTTGTAAGAAAAATGTTCTAGAGTTAATGTCAGGAATCCAAGGTTATGTCCGTTCTGAAAAAAAATCCCTCTCAGAAAGAAAGGAGATATTGGGATATCTGTATATTACTTTGTTTGTCTATAAATTTAGGCTGCAGTTTATCTGCCAGAGACATTTTTGCAATATCTGTTACTGTGAACTGATAAAAATCACAGAAGGGCTGAGGTCAGAAGGGACCTCTGGAGGTCTTCTGGTCCAACCCCTTTCTCAAGCAGGGTCACCTAGAGCTAGTTGCCCAGGACCATGTCTAGATGGTTCTTTGAATGTCTCCAAGGATGGACACACCACAACCTCTCTGGGTAACCTAAGCCAGTGTTTGGTCACTCTTGGAGTGAAAAATCATTTCCTGATGTTCTGCAGATCTCCTGTGTTTCAGTTTGTTCCCATTGCCTCTGTTCCTACAATATGATCTTTTCCATTACATGCAGTATTGTCACCACAAGTAAGATTTCCTTAGTTTTGTCAAACCCTTAAAAATAATTTATTCGTTTACAGAATTCACATTCATATCCTGGTTTGTTTTAAAATACTATCATAGCTTATATAAGGAATATGTATCATTTAAAACCAGGAAACAAGGTCTACTATGTTTCTGTTGGCAACATAATGGTTAACATTAGAACAGGTAGCAGACCTGCTCTGGGACTTGGTTAGTCCGTTCTATGTGTCCAGTCTACTGTCCCAGTTACTTTTCAGGCTTTACAAACTTCCCTCATTTGCTTTAATGACAGGATGGCCAGCTTCATCTTCCTGAGTATCTGTTAGTTCATAGAATCATAGAACCATCTAGGTTGGAAAAGACCTTTGAGATCACTAAGTCCAACCATTAACCTAGCACTGCCAAGTCCACCACTCAACCATGTCCCTAAGCACCACATCTAGATCTTTTAAACACCTCCAGGGATGGTGACTCAACCACTTCCCTGGGCAGCCTATTCCAGTGTTTGACAACCCTTTTGGTGAAGAAATTTTTTCCTAATACCCAATCTAAACCTCCCTGGGCACAACATGAGAGCATTTCCTCTTGTCTTATCGCTTGTAATGTGGGAGAAGAGACCGACACCCACCTCACTTCAGCCTCCTTTCAGGTAGTTGTAGAGAGCAATAAGGTCTCCCCT